ACAGGTACACACACCTGGTAGATAGTACAGGTACACACACCTGGTAGATAGTACAGGTACAAACACCCGATGGCATACCACTCCGGTTCTGCACATTACGTTAGCAAACTATGCGAGCATTCCCAGAGGAGGTGTGCGCATAAACCACACACAACAGCACAAGTCCACAATGAAGCGCAACCACGCACATGTAAGCATGGGCAAGTAGACCATTTCACACATACATAAGTCCTTAACACAACATGAACTAAACAGTTGAATACCACACACGTACAAAGATAAAAGAGCGTCCGCCATATCAATCACCCAACAACTCACTGTGCCGTTGCACACACTCAGCACAACATGAACTATACAGTTAGACACCACACATGTACAAAGATAAGAGAACATCCGCCATATCAACCACCCAGCACCTCACTGTGCCGTTGCACACACTCAACACAACATTAACTATACAGTTGAACACCACACACGTACAAAGATAAGAGAGCGTCCGCCATATCAACCACCCAACACCTCACTGTGCCGTTGCACACACCTTGTGGGCTGTGACCTCGTCCGCCGTCCCTTGCGCGTGCTCTGTGGATCGTTCGATATCTTGGGCCTTTTCGATGTATTTTGGGCGGTACTTTGGGGGTCACTGGCAGGTCTCGATCTTTTGCTGGCAGGGGTGTCAGACTGATTCGGTAGCGTACTGAGAAGGGGGGTGAAGAGGGTAGTAATGAGTATATATAGTTGTTGATGGGAAACATACACATAAGAGTGTTTGTGCCTTAATGCACACACCCAGCACACCCAGGAAAATGTCTGGAAAGTCAAGATAGAGGTCACCAGTACTGTGAATGGCCACATTCATCAAACTCTTCACCCCCAATAGGATAGTCCTAACGCGGAAGACAAACTAGAACTTCACTTATAACAGCAAAATTAGGACACAACAGTCACACAGACCACACACACACTATCAAACACACCAGTCACACAGACCACACACACACTATACAAACACGCACACACTATCAAACACTCTAGTCACACAGACCACACACACACTATCAAACACACCAGTCACGCAGACCACACACACTATCAAACACACTAGCCACACAGACCACACACACCAGACACACTAGACCAGACACACTTTAAAACACACCAGACACACATACCACACACACACACTATCAATACACTAATCACACAGACTACACACACTATCAAACACACCAGTCACACAGACCACACACACTATCAAACACACCAGTCACACAGACCACACACACTATCAAAAACACCAGTCACACAGACCACACACACACTATCGAACACGTACACACTTCCTATACTGCATATAACAACACCACTGGCAATGGCACACGTATGCGCCCACGATAACCGCGCACGAGCATTTATACATACTCCATAAGTACGGCTTATACTTCACAAGAATGTATTTAGACTGGACAAGAAAGCATTTATGCTTCACAAAAATGCACCTATGCAACATAAATTATACATGTGCAATGCTATAGCACAGCTATACTTCACAAGTATTGCCTTTAGATTTTATAAAGAATGATCGCTGTCCGTATGTTTGGGCGGGAACAGTGTCTCAATCAAGAAGCAGCAAGGTACATATACCCACACAGACACACAGACACGCACACATCACAAAGTAATGATGAATATATATTCAGAACGGCTCGCATACACAGACACACTAGAGGTCAGAAATGATTGTGTCTGTATAATTACACAGACACAGAGGCAGACATAGATACAGGCACAGACACACCAAACAACACCACATACACCGACAGAGTCTCTTGAAGTTAAAGATTCGATCACAACCACACGACATACACCGACACAGTTTCACGGGCTTGAAGGTTCGATCCCAACAACAAC